CTTCATTTAAAATATATTTATCTAAAAGTACTTTATTTTGAATTATTGGTGGATTCAAGTCCGCGACTTAACAATCATTAAAGGATATTACAAAATCATTTAACGATGTTAAATGTTAACCATATACAATGTGTATATAAATAGATATATACAATTTTTATTCAAAGTTTTACAAATATATTGGTGTGGTCTAGTGGTAGCAAGTAGTTTATTTAATAATACTGGCGTTAATACAATCAAAACTCCATCCTTCTCACACTATTTCTTTCATCTCTCTACTTTTACCTAAATTCTTCTCCACTTGCGCAAGTTAGCTACTCCACGACCACAAAAATGACAAATCCATCATCGTCGTCATCTTTGTCCCAATCTCTCATATGTTAATTGCAGAATAGTTGCATTCCATCATCAAAGATCTCTATCACAGAAACTCTTCTAACTCCAACGATGCCTTTAGGAGTGACGAAAATAATTTATTTAAATTTGTAGGAGTAAAGAAAATGATGTATTTAAATTTGTAGGAGTGGAGAAAATGATTTAAATTTGTATGTATATCATTAAAGAAAATATGACATCAAAAGAAGTACTATGCGGGTTAATAACATACGTGTTACCACCAGATCAAACAATATATTTATAAAATTTTGTATAAAAATTGTATATATTTATTTATACACTTGAAGTTAAAATATAACGCAGATTACTGATTCTATAACGTCTGTTAAGTCACGGATTTGAATCTACTAATAATTCAAAAATAAGGGCTTCTTAGACAAAAATATTTAAAGAGATAATTGGCTGAGAGACAAAGATCTGAACTATATTTAGTTTTTTATTATTTCTTGTCGGAACCCAAAACAAAGAAAATTTTAGCCCCTCTTTTTGCCAGAAATAGCCTCCCGCGTGTTTCCATTCGACATGATATGGATTAATACATGAGACATCAATATGTTGTATATGAATATCTAAAAATCTTTATAGATCAATATATCTAACTTATATGTTACCTTCCTCGTGTACCGCCATCATTTATATTGAGCCAAGATCAAACAGAGCACCACACTATAATAGCAACACTTTAAATTCAACATAATTAGTGTTGCTATTATGATGAATTTTTTAAAGTTCCGGTGATAATTTAACAACAACTGATGAAAATATAATGACAGTTCAACGAAATCCGGTGAAGATCCGGTGATAATTCGAAGAAATCCGATAAAAACTCGACAAAAACCGGTGAAAATCTATCAAAAATTGGATGAAATTTATGACTCCAATGATATTTCAATGTCCAATTACAATGCATTATTCACTTGCTCTGTTCAACGGTTCGGGATACAGTGATTGTATTTATGTTTGTAGCGTTTATACAAGTATACTAATGTTAATAACGCTCTATATACGTGTTTACATATATACAAATGTTAACAACGCTCTATACATGTGTTTACATGCAGACAAATGTTAATAATGATTTATATATATATATATATATATATATATATATATATATGTATATATATATATATATATATGTTTACATGTATACAAATGTTAATAACGCTCTATACAAGTATACAAAGATCCAATAACATAACAGTATCATTATTTTTAATGCTCTATACATGTGTTTACATGTATACAAATGTTAAAATTTTCTAATACTCCCTCCGTTTTTTTATAAGTAATGTTTTAGGAGAATGCACATAGATTAAGAAATCATTTAATTTTTGTTTATTTTTTAACTAAAACATCATTTATTATTTAATCAACCAATAAAAAACCAATCTACAGAATATAAATCGTCAAAACCAATAAAAACGTAATTAATTTTGTATTGAAAATTGAAAACATCATCTATTTAAAAACAAAATTAGAAGCTTAAAACACCACTTATTAAAGAACGGAGGGAGTATATATTTGTAGCGTGCTAAAATTTTCCTAGTTTGAAAAAAACAGCAATTAACGTTACTTTTTCTTTTTGTCTCATGTAAATGTTATATCATGTGACTAGTATTTACTCAATGTCGCTTCATTTCTCTAGCCAAAAAAAGTCAAGAGCACTATCCCACGTGCATAAGCGTGTAAACAATTGGTGTTTTGTAAATTTTTTGAAACCAAGGGCTATTGATAACGATCTATTTTATTCTGTCTGAGCCAAAATCGACTTTTGTCGATTCGCTAATTTGATGCTCCATTTTTGTCTCTGCGTCAATCGTCCCTTTAAATGAGTTATTTTTGTTCCAACCAAAAAGTTGGGTATTAAAAGTCCAAAAATAAACATATGGGGTATTTTCGGCTATTTTTCTCGTTATAATTTAACGTTGTTTATTGATACTACTGTAACGTCCGTTAAATCAGAGGTTTGAAACTACCAATAATTTAAAAATAAGGTATTTTTGGCCAAATATAATTAAATGAAACAATTTTCTTCCAACAAAAAAAGTAAGATATTAAATGTCTAAATAGAAAATAGACAGAGTATTTTTTGGATTTTTCCCAAAAAATTTGTGTTCAACTTTTCGCTTATGGTTGTATTCTTCGTCTATATGTAATTACTAGTATTATGACCTCTGCTATGTCGGAGCATAAGGTATTGTTAAAAATTTGTGATTTTTGTAAATATTAAAGGATTTAGAAGTAAGAAATGAAGATGTAATAAAAATGATCAAAATATATAGAAAATATTTGATCTGGAATTTATACATCCAACTAGGCCTGGGCAAAATAACCGAACCGAAAGAACCGAACCGGAACCGAACAAAAATTTTAAAATACTCAAATGGATCCTAAATTCTAGAACCGAAAGAACCGGAACCGGAACCGAACCAAAATATTTAGGGTACCCAAAAATATCTGAAATATGAGTTTATATATAAAAATATTAGTTATTTTTAGATCGAATAGCCAAAACTACCCGAAATACCAACAAATATTTGGAATATCTATATAAAATACTTAACATATCTAAAAAATACTCAAAAATATCCAAAAATACCCAAAATATCCAAAATACCTAAAATATCCGAAAGAAAATACCCAAATGGATCCTAAACTTCAGAACTGAAAGAACCGGAACCAGAACTGGAACCGAACCGAAATTATTCGGTTCCTATATGGATCCTAAACTCTAAAACTGAAAGAACCGGAACCGAACCAGAACCTAACCGGAACCGAACAGATACCCGAACGCCTAGGCCTACATCCAACTATAACTGTCTGTTATACAAAGGTGCGAGTATACATGTACTCTTAGAATTGAAAATGAAAGATATCTAAAAATTGAGATTCTAACAAAAGAGACTAAGAATACATTGACATGTTCTTTAGCCTTAACAATTAAATGTCTGCTAAAACTCTTCATCTTGCTTTTTTCTCATTTTTAGAGAGTGATAAATCCATCCTTTCCATGAAACCTATTAAGTATTAACAGACACTAAGAAAATGTTTAGAGGACATGATTTTGAAAGAAATTTAGAGGACGAAGCAAACATTATGATAAGAAAAGCAAATACCAAAATCTCACCAAAAAAAAAAAGCAAATACCAAAAAAATAGAAGGGAATATATACAAAGTAACCATGGATTCAAAAAAAATATACAAACTAACCATGAGCTACAGTAACCTGTCTGTAACATGTCGGAAAGTATGTGTAAACATACATGTCCTTTGTAACATGCTTTTTTTTCGAATTACATGTGATAGCATAATATATCTCTTTTTATCATGTATTTTTCTCGTACTACACGTTATTTATAAAGAACACATAGTATTTCTCGGAAAAAAACATTATATTCAGTGTAATATCTGTCTTTATCATGTTATTTTGTAATAATACACGTGTTTAATTAAGATCACATGTGAATATCTGTCTTTATCATGTTATTTTGTAATAATACACGTGTTTTATTAAGATCACATGTGATTTCTTTTTTAAAAAGATGATTATTTTTTAGTAATACACGATTTTTTTTAAGATTACATGTGATTTCTTTTTAAAAAGTTACTATTCAGATTAAATTTTTCATGACAATGTTTTTTCTTAAAATAACACTACGTAACAATGTTTTTTCTTAAAAATTCACTATGTTTTTTAAAATATCATGTCTTTTAGTTAAATATAACATGCAAAATTTAAATATTACATGCTATTTTGAAAAATCTCACGAAACTATCTCACATATCGTTGATCTTGCAACAAACAAATGATAGTTTTGGTATTTCACATCATCCGACAACGTGTGCCCATGGCTATTTTGCAACAAAAAATTTTCTCCCTGCTATTTTCTTAATTTGAGTGTTTTATTTGGCTATTTCCTAATATTTCCCAAAATAGAAAGACAAATTTAGAAAAATAACTGGAAGATCTGGAATAAGTTGCAAATCCCATCCTTTTATAATATGAGACAAACGATATATGATGGTTTGAGGAAATTAGTGGATGAAAGTGGAAAGTTAATTTGATTATGGTTGAAAAGAAAGAAAAGTAGGATCGTGGTTTCATTTAAAAAAATTTGTAGTTTAGAAAAAGAAAAGTTTTCGGCAGATAAAAAGGATTAAAGGAAAGAAAACTAAAATAAATTTTTTTTACTTTTGCCGAGAAAAAAAAAAAGATTTTACCTTTTAAAATTGTAGATGATAGGTGTCATTTTGAGAATTGCCGACTGACTTCTGTTTTATATAACGAAGAATGTTTATAAATACGTTCATTCATATGTTAATAAGGAATTATATTTTACATTTTACATTTTCATAATTGTAAAGTATAGTCACATATTCTTCTATAAATAAGTCAAATTAACATATCACAACAAAATTAAATAAATTGAGAAGTTAAAACTTTACAATTTTTTTTGGTTTCCTCCAATGTTTTATATAATTTTGTCACTAAAGAAATATATAACTTTATATTTGCGGAATAACCAATCAATCCCTTAGTTAATTGTGATATTAGTACTAACTCAACGTCTTATATCACCAGTGGTGATTCACCACAAATGTTTTGTTATGAACTTAACTTTTTTTTTGAAAAACCCAGTCCTAAAAGACATACATATTTTGATAACAAACGAAGTTAAACAAGATTCACAAAATGGATCAACAAAATATAACAAAATCTATGTGTAGTATCTCTATAATCCAAGCTTTTATCTGTCAGAACTCAACTAGAGGAGATTCTACACAGTAGATTCATGAAACAGCTCAAGTATAGTAGTACTTTTTGGATTACGACCACTAAAACTTTTCTATGCACAATATTCTTTACTTCTCGAGTTACTTGAGTTCAGTAAGAGGGAATTGCAGCGAAACGGTACCCTTCAGCTCCTCTCCATGAGTAGTAAGCAATCCGGGTCTCGTAGAAACCTGTAGCCACAATTGTGAAATGTGTCAAGGCCATGAAAATCACTGTTTTACTCACAGCATACATAGGTAAAGAGAACAAACAAAGAGACGATGATTTAAACAGACAACGAACACAAGCTATGTCTACTTGATCCAACTCACTCAATGTCCACGTGAAATAACAGATTCTGTTTTCGAATCATGCACCCAGCAATAAGAAGGAACTTAGAAGCATAAATGGATAAAGAGAACATAATTTCAACTTAACAAAGAACACAATCTGTGTCTAGTTGATCCAATACTCAATCTCCACAGTCCACATCAACCAACAGATATCCACAAGGCTTTCAAATCAAACATCAAGCATTAAGTACGAAGAAAGAGTAGATCATTTCAACAGAAGAAGAACTCAAAGCATTGTCTACTTGATATATAACTCGCTCAGTTTCCACATCAAACAACAGAAGATTCCACAAGGGTTTTTGAATCAAACATCATCCACTCAGGAAAACAACTGAAGAAACTCACCAGGCATAAATACCTAAACTAAAGAACACAAAATCCATCTCCACACTAAACTTAATTTCAACTAACAAAGAACACAATTTCCGTCTCTAGTTGATCCAATGCACACATTCACCACATCAAACAACAGATTTCACAAAGGTTTTCGAATCAAACATTATGTATTGAGTATCACCCAACACGAGAAACTCAATAATAGACGAAGAATTCGAATTCTTACCAGGGAGAAAAGTAAGGATCCCAAGAACAAGAAGAGCATAACCTTGAGAGCTATCTCCTTCCATGTGACCAATAAAGATAAAAAACGACAAAAGAAGAAGCAAACAACCAAGGAGCAGAAGAAACACAGCTAATGCTATTGATTTCCATGGTACTCTATCAAATGCTTTTGGTGTATAATCGAAACGAGGATCGAAATCTCTCCTTCCACCAACACCATTTCCATAACCTTCATCATCTTCATCTCCTGGAAGCTGTGCATACCGTACACTTCTCCTTGACGCCATTCACTAACCACACAACAGAGCAAATCCTGAGAAGCTGAAACTCAAAACCACATAGATGGATCATAAACACCATAAGTTCGAATCTGTATCTAAAACCCTAATCATAACAAGAATCAATCAAGAACAAAATTGTCACGCAAAATCAAACCGATTCCAAATTAATCGCCGGAAAGATTGAGAAGCAGAAGGAAGACTAAGAATCTGATACAGCTATGAATAAGAAGAGCCGAGAAACTCACCGGAATTTTGGTTAGCTCGCCGGGAAGATCAAGATCAAACTAGGATTCGGATCTACTTTGACGAAAGATTCGGACTCTTCACTTCTTCTTCGTCTCTGACGTAACGACGCGTTTTGTGAGTATAAAAACTACTGGTTTGATAATTTACTGATTACATCCTATACTTTTGTTAAAATTATATTTAAACCATGTATTTAATTTATCAATTTTACAACCCCAGTCTTCCCAAACAAAGCAAAAAAAATTTTCATCAAGGTAGAAAAACCCGAACTCGACAAACCAAAGTTCACATTTGAACCAAATTTTGTGATAATCTGAATGTGCATAAATTTTTTTAATCTAAAACTATCGAAATTGAACTTTAGCCGAATCGCGATTATTTTTTGTGTGTGTTTTTCTTTAATTTTACTTACATGTAGTCTTTGTGAATCTTATGTATCATAGGTCTTGCATTTGTATATTCAGTTCTTTTTAGTCATTTTTAGGTTTTGAAGCGCATTGGACTGAGATGGATGTGTAGGGTTGAAAGGAGAGTGAATGGAAGCACGATACCGACAACTATCTCATCCCATGATCGATCACTCGCAAAAAATATGGGAGATGTGAAAGTGGTCACGGAAAAAAGAAATAGAAATTTGAGGGTTTGATTGAGCTACGAGTATTACCAGGGCCGGCTCAAACTATTTTGTTGTATAAAGCAAATAAATTTGGTCCATTAACAAAAACTGTTGAAAAGAAAAATTTACAAATATTATCATAAGTGAGAATAAAAACCATCACCTAGAGTAAGAATAATAAGGTATAGAGTACTAGACTACAATAACATTTAGCTATAATGATACCCCTAAAATTACTAATACTCATTTGTTGCCTAAAACCTTTCTTGCTTCATTAGTTTTAGCTATAGGGCGGTTCTGAGAATGACTAACTGGCTACACTGTTGGTTGAAGAGTGATCATGTTATTGGTTGAAGAGAGTTATAATCCATGAAATGTAAACCCCAACGGCCGACTTCATTGAACCCAACTAAACAATTGATTAATATATAAGCAAAAGGTGTCCGAGATAAATCAGCCCGAATGACCACCCTTGAAGCTTCCTTCGAGAGGTTGGTCGCTATCGGTCATTTTGTGTTGGATCCGACCATGTTCAATCTGGACATCCCCGTTTGGCCAACTTACTTTTCCCATGGATATATATATATATATTTTTCTTTGTTTTTGTTTTGTCAACGTTCCTATGTACTTGTTACAATTTTAAAACCAAACTTAAGTTTTTTTTTTCCATCTACAAAACTTAAGTTAATTCAAATGAAAGATCTTTCCCATGCAAAGTGTTTTGATTCGAACGTAATCGCTTCATCTTTTCCCTTTGCTTCATAGCTTTATTTACGGGGTTGAGAAGATGGACCGAAAACTTGGTTTTAATTAACCGTATGTTATGTTTCCATGTTTTTATTCTTTTTGTCATGGATCCATATGCATAGGTTTTCAAATCTATGTTTGTAACCTAAACTTTTTCATTTTCTATGAAATATTTACAATTTAGCAAAAAAAAAAAAAGTGTTTTGATTCAAATGGTTTCTTTAAGTTAGTTCGAGGGAAAAAAAAAGAACCAAAGGATAAAAGCATAAAACCGAACTTTGTCTATTATTTGTCCTTGTCCATTCATTATGTGTGATTAGTTTTTTTAGTGGATGATGATGTGGATAAATTAGGATTTTTTTTGTATGAATGCAAAAAAAAAAAATTGGTAAGAGAGGGGAGACGAAAAACAGAAAAATTACAAGCGGATTCGCCTTCGGTGTGCAGACCCAAACGCCATCGCTAAGTAGCAATGCAAAATTGTATTCATACAAAAACCATTTTACAATAAATGCATCTTTTTTTAAAGAATATAAAGTTGTATTCATACAAAAACTTTTGTCACATTGATGTGTCATTTTGCTAAATGCATTCTTATTTGTATTTTACAATAAAATTGGATGTTTAATGGTTGATTCTGGATTTTTATGTCTAACTATTAAGTTATTTAGAGTGCATTCATAGTTAAATCTGACTTGATCTAAATATAGATCTTAGACATTCATGCGAAAGTATTTGAACCAACACTTTTATGATTTAAAAATCATTACTGGCCAATAACAGTTGAGTTTAGGGTGTTTAGTGATGTTAATGTATTTATTTTATCAATTTTAAAACCCCAATCTTCCCAAACAAAGCAAAAATATACTCTAATTAGGTAATTAATTTAAGTCAAATTTACCCAGTTTGACTCAAAACTTAGCAAAAATAACTAGAATGACTCTCAATCCAGATGGATAACTAGACTAACCCAAATTTTATGTAAAAAGACTATTTAACCTTTCATTATGCCATTTCCTTTAAAAATAAAAACCAAATTCGTTTTTTTTTAATTAAAAATCAAATATGACATTTAATTTTAATAAGTCTGCTACATTAAAATTAAATCTGCCATATCCTAATTTTGCAGATTTTTTTAAAAATTGCCAAACATAATCTTGTCGTGATAAGATCCCATAAATCTGTCATGATAGAATAAAAATCTGTCAAAACATGAAAAAATCTGTTGTCACTAAATAGGTCATTCCAATAATTTATTTTTAATTCAAGAAATCTGCTATGAAACACCATATTTTTGTGAATTAAACATAAATCTGGCATAACATAAAAAAAATATGTCATAACGTTAAACATATCGGTTGCGACTATATGTCATTCTAGCAATTTTAATTTTTTAAAAACAAATCTGCTATAACATTCCAGATTTTTTGTTAACATTAAAAAATCTGTCATAACGTAAAACAAATCTGTGAGCACTAAAAAGTCAAACTAGTAATTATTTTTTATTAACAAATCTGCTGTATTATGACAGTTTTTTTCCAAAAAATATAAGTCTGACGCCACTAGAAACAAAAATCTGCTACATATTATAATAAAACTGTCAAAATTACGAAAGTCTGAGACGTCATCATAAAATAAGTCTGGCAAAGGAAAAAAATCTGCTAGAAATTAAATATCTGTCGTAACCATATTCAAATAAGTCTGTGAGAGGAAAAAAACTGCTGTAGAAAATCTGTCGTAGACTATTATGTCTGTCAGAGAGAATAAATCTGTCACAACGACGCCCACAGACTTTTAACGGCAGATTTGGTTTTTCGAAAAAATTTCACCCACGTTTCCAGAAAAATCAGAGGGTATTATTGACTTTATTTTTTTTTCTAACAAAGAGACAAAGGGTATTTTGGTCAGAAAAATAACTAGATTAACCCATACATTTTATTTTAGTAATTAAACCTTATTTTTGGGTCAAACTAGTTTTTTTCCCTTAATTTAATCCTATAATTATCAAATAATAATTATGATTCCAAAATATCTTTGCAATTAAAAACCAAAAAAAAAATTCTCTCTCCTCGCTCTCGTTTCCTCTCTCTCGTTTCCTCTCTCTTTCTCTTCCAACCGAGAAAGCAGACAAAGGAAAAGCTAAATCCGTGACCCGGATCCGATATTATCGGGTTTTCAAAATCTAATTCTCTTATCTTCTTCTTCTTCTTCCTGGGTTCTTCCAAAAATTCAATTTCACAAAAAGGGCACTGCCCTTTATCATGCCTAAAATTCTCAGGTACCCAAATCAAGATTCATCGATTTCAATCTCTTATAAACTCATATTCTTCTTTAAATTCTCCACATTGTGAATCATTCATGGGTTCGGATCTTTTTTGATTCAGCTACGAATCAATCATGATATTGTTTTCTGAATAAAGTTTTGATTTTTAATAATTAAAGTAGATGTTACAAAAAAAAAAGTTTGGTTTTTTATTTGATAAATTCTGTTTCTTGTTTCTGCAATCTTCAAATTCAATGTTTTTCTGGTTGATGTTGACGTTTTAAAGTCATATGTTTATGTATCCACTATCTGAGAAAAAAATGTTCTTATATGAGAAACTGAAAGTGATTGAATTTTACCAATTAGTGTATTGTAATGAAGATATTGAATTTTTGGTTTAGGGGTAAATAAACAGTATTAGTTTTGTTCTTTGAGAATTCTCTGTTTGTTTATAATCTTTGAGATTTTCATATGAGTATAGTTTTAATATTGAGATTTGTTGTTGTTACATGTTATTGTGTCCCACTTACTCTTGTAATTGGTTTTGTTGGGTACACTTTTGAGCTGGCTACATTATTTATTTTATAGTTGAGAGATCTTTGTATTGACTTGGTTGTTGATTCTTTAAACTTGGTCCCAATGTTAGTAATAAGACAGAAAGAAACAACTAGTTTCTCTATGTGGGGATGCATTTGTCTTCAATTATCTTTATTTGAAAGTTGTGTTTATATGTTGCAGGTTTTTTAGAAAGCATTGGATTTCTTATTTTTTTACTTACATTACATGTTTCTTTGAACAGGATCTAAATAAAACTATAGAAAAAAATGGGTGGATGTGTGTCAACCCATTCAAGAGCGATTAGGCCTCGGCGGAAAGGCCGTCGTAGATCTTCCAAACACTTTTCTAAAGTGTCTGATATTGTTCCTCATTCAAATATTAGAAGGCCTAGTGACGTTGGGAGCCGCGTTTCTTTTGGTAGTAGTTCTGTACTAGCTTATGGTAGATCATATAATGTTGTTAATTAGAGTAGATTTTGACATTATAAGTTGTTTTGTTGCAGCTATCTCGCAAGATGATGCATGGTTTGACTCTGTTAGTGTTCTTGATTCGGATGAGGATGAGGACTTCATCAGCTTACCTGAAGGTAAATATCAATCTACATTATTTTCAGTATTTATGGAATCAATATTGTCAGTGTTCTTGTAAAAGCTCATTTGAAATCAAATATACACTCAGAGGAACAATTTGTTAATGTTGATATGGATCTGAATTTCTTTTACCTTCTCTCTCAGCAGAAAACGTACCATCAGCGCCATCAGCGGGTGGTGCGACGGGTAATATACCAAATGGTCAAGTAGTTCAATTTGAATCTTCTTCGTGCATTGTGGATGGGAAAGGAAAGTACGAAGAATACCATGAGACTTACTTGAAGATAGACGGGAGTAAAACCGAGAAGTTTGTGTCCAAAGGGATGTACAAGGATCCTAGTGGTCTCTCTGTTCTTACTGGAAACAACAAGAAGAAACTAATGGACCATGCAAGCTTTAAAGGTTTGAAGGAACAGAAACGGAACTCTCAAGAGAAAACCCTGAGAACCAGTCTGAGTCGATTGATGCCAACAGTT